ATGATACACACGAACTGTGTGTTTTTATTCCTCTGCAACACCGAGGACTGAACCCATGACCCCATGGTTGGTAGGCAAGCGTTCTACCACTGAGCTATATTCCCAGTCCCAAACATACTGTTTTCTTTAGTTAATGCTACCCTGTAGGCTCCTGGCTAGGCAGGAGAGGAAAACCCACCAGCCCGAAGATGCCTGGGGTCAGGCCGGAAGGGTCTCCGGGGCATTCTCTTTGCTGTGCCTTTGGTTGTCAGCGTGTTCCCTGGAAGGTGCCCCTGCCCCCATATGTAGCACACAAACTGAAACTGTACAGACAGTCACACCCTCTGCCCACCTGAGCTTCCTCAGACACAGTGAATCAGGCAGGTGGTGGGATCCACTCTAAAGGGGCGCTGAGGCTGAAACCCGATCTGTCCAGTTGCGCGCTCCTGTGGACAGGGTCAGCAGCCCGTTATCTGGGGAGCTGAGAGAAAGGCCACCCAACTGCTAAAGACGGTGGCGCTGTGGAGGGGGACAGTGCTCCTGAAGGTTCAGATTCCAGAAGAACTCTATGTCTTGAAGTGCACCCGGGGATGTTCAAGGGGCTTCGTGAGTGATGGCGCAGCCCAGAGAAGAAGCAAGGGAGGGAATGGGGCTCAGGTTTTATTTGGAATCATTAAAAAAAAAAAAAAATTACAGCAGCATCGGATCTTTGGAATCCAGAGGACCATAGGGCAAAAGGAGCCAGCAGGGGGCGCTGGCGCTGGCAGTAGCGTGCGCGCGTTGGATAAGCTTGTGGCACCGGGCTGGGGCGCAGAGAACGTGGGCAACCCGCAGGGCACTTTAGGCAGGGCACTTATTGCCAGGTGGGGACGGGATCCAAGGTAGAGGGGGTGTCCCTTGGGTCTCTGTGGCTGATGGCAGTCTCCTAGTCTCCTCCACTCTTGGCCTGGCAGCGAAGGGAGGAGAGGTAGGGAGGCAGAGACGGAAGAAGGGAGGGGGAGGGAGGGAGAGAGACCTGCACTCAGCTCCAGGCCCTCAGTTCTCCATTACCACGAGGAAAGGGTCACTTATGAGGAGATTATGCACTCAGGCCCAGGATTGCCACACCCATGTCCCTGTGGGAGGCTGTGGAAAGTCTCCCACTCAGAAATGAAGGAGGTCTGTGTGACTCGGGTTTCTATCAGAACTTTCTGGTGTGCCCTGGGAGGCCTGCTCTTACCTCTTCATCCTCCTCCTGCTCTTTGGCCTCCTGGTCCTGGGCAGACGCGGGTTGTTCCAAGTCCTCCTACAGTGGGGTGCAAAGGGGACACAAGGCTATGGGAAGAGATACACTGACCCTCAGCTGCCCCGGCCTCCCCTTTCAGGTCTCACAGATGAGCAGGGGCCTTTCACCATTTTACTGTCCTTCGAACATCTGGAGGTGCCAGATTCCCAAGACTTCTGAGGGTACCAGATACCCTGCAAGCCAGCTTCATCTTCCACAAACAGAGCTAAGTCACGGGTACCTGCCTCCCGGTAGGCTTGGCTTCCTTAAGTGAGGAAGTCTGGGAGATATGGAGTAAGGTTGGGAGTGGGCAGAGACCCTTGGATCACATGACCCCCCTCACTCTGAACAGTGGTATGCCATCACTGTTCACAGCACCCCGGAGCATAGGGGTCAGGACCTAGAAACTACTTCAAGGGCTCAGAGCACAACATGTTGGCAGGGCTCCTGCTTGCTCCAGGCCCCTCTTCCTGCCTTCTGGACGTGCTCTGGACTCGGGCCTATCTTCCGTCTCCTCTCTCTCCACAGCATGTGCTGACATGCTCAAGACAGCAGGGAGTTTAGAACAAGACTGATGGTCCCTCCGAAGTCCGTTCTCAGAGCCTGTGTTACCTCAGGACCCAAACAATGAGAGACAAAAGGACGCAGAACTTTCAGCCAGGATCATACAGAGCCAGGCTCTTTGGAAGAAGGGCAAGCGACTGCTTGCCTGGGCATACTACCCCAAGAGTGGCGCCTGAACCCCATGGCATGAGTGGCCAGACGGCCATGCTGCGCTCTTCTGAAGGTCACTGGTAGGGTGAGGTATAGTGTTACCGGGTAATGACTATGCCTTGGTACCGCTCAGAGGGCTCAGTAGTTTCTTCGGCGTTTAGCAAGGGGTAGACTGAAACGAGCTCCCAGGAACCTTTTTGCTAGGGGCTTGGGAGGAGGCTTCCTGGGGTGCCCACCGCGTGCCTGGCAGAAACGCTTACTGGCATCCTTTCTCTGCCTTCCCCCACAGTCCTGTGAGATGGTGCCATTTCAGACAAGAGACCCTGTGCTGATCCCAGCAGCAAGTGTTTGGGGTGGGTGACCCCTCCCCTTTGACCCCCTCCTCAGAGCAGACTTCTGCAGTATTGGCTGTGTGGGACCCTGGGGCTCTGCCACTGGGGCGGCCTGTTGTAAGTATGGGGGCTGAAGATAACAAGTCTTTGGACTCAGCTTCCTCTCAACCTCTATTCTGGAACCCCCATCCCTTCACAGTCTACTCTCAGTTTTGAGCTGGCACTCATGGAAGCCCCATGCTCACACAGGCTAACCACGCGACACAGTCTCTCTAGGCTTTTCTCTCCACATCCTGTTTTGTGGAATGTGGGAGCCCATGCAAAGGGTAAGTGTAAAATGCTTAAAGCAGAGCTACTGGCCTGCAAGTGCTGAGACAGCTCCCACCTCTGGCCTCTATCCCTAGAGAGCCCGAGAGCCCTAATCGTTCAGCTGCCTGCCACACACGCATACATCGCATGCATACCCATCCATGTTCATCGCCACCATCCCTACATCGCACGTACAACCCACATGCTCACACAAAGACTTCAGCAGAGGGTGGCGTCAGAGCCCTGCTGCTTGTCTACCACAAGGGGGCAGTGTTCCCCCCACCACTTCAAGGGGAGGCAGCGGTCAGACCCTGAGACCGATGGAGGTTGAACAAAGGCTAACAGGTAGTCCTAGTGGTGGCTTGGAAGTTTTAGCCTGTCTAGAAGGCTGCCTTTCGCCATATAGGGCCCTGAATTCACTTGTAAAATTTATTTCCTGTATTCCAAAAGTGATGGGCTGGGCATGGTTTGGGTGTTTGTGCATAAAACAAATCCCAAGTCCCCAATCCAGGGGTGTGGAAAGGATTCCAGATATGAACTGTTGTAAAATCAGCATGTCACCCCAACACACACAATGAGTGCTACCTGTAACGTCAAGCAGCGTCTAACGCTCCTTCCTTCCCCATGTGCCCAACAGTGTCTCCTGTTGCCAGGGAGCCCAGGGAAAGGACATGAGCCAGACTCACCTTGCGAACCACCCCAGCGGTGACCACGATGTTTTCTGCCTCCTCCACGGTCTTGCTGGCCACCGTGTTGACGCTGGTGACCACAGCTTCACTGACGGCACTGGCCTGCTCCTTTGTCTTCTCAGCCACTGCGGAGGATTCGGGCTGGACTCAGCCCTGAGCATCTCCACTGCTGCCTACCCGAGTTGGGGAGAACACCCCTTCCCAGAGCTCGGATGTCTGACTTTTGGTTACTTCCATGCCATTCTCTGACTCTAGGGCAGCAACAATGTGATGGATGGGGCGGGGCAGGGTGGGGGCAGGGGGCACAGGAGCCTGCTCTGGCTTATCTTTAGGGAATATAGTAGTTTGGGTCACCTGGAACTTAGGGTCCCAGCTGATACAAGGAGGCCTCTAGGTGTGGGCCCTGGGTACAGGGCAGGATTCATGGGTCCCTGATTGTGGGTCGCCTTACCTGAGGTGACACTTTGTACCACGTTCTCCTTGGTCTTGGTGCCTGTCAGAGGGAAGAGGTGTTCAGGCAGTCAGGGCTAAGAGCTGGATACCCTGGGGTGGAGGCAGGCAGGAGGGAATGAGGATGCTGTCTGGGGACAGTAGCCCCTTCAAAGGGACATTTCCTGCTATGTCTGAAAGGCAGAAGACAGACGGGAAGGAGACAGGACAGGAAGAAGGGACAAAGGAGATCAGGCCTGAGGTAGGGTCACTGGTGGGTCTATGGGCCTCACATGGGTGTGGCCCGGGCCTCAAGCAGGAGCTGAACAGGGCAGAGAAAGCTGAGTCACAGGCTTGGCCACCCCTGCCCCCTCTTTGGAGGGAGACCAGAGAGCTGGGGTGGGTTGAACGCTTAACCGGGGCCCCTCTCCACAGCCTACCCCTTTCCTCTAGTGGGGTCATGTGGCCTCGTTTGGCTGCAGCAGCTCCCATTGGAGAAGGCGGGGTCCACCTGAGCAGATCACTGTCTCTGGGTCTCCAAGCGTAGGCGACCCCAGGCATGTACGTACATGCTTTTGTACATACACACTCAGGTGGTCTGAGAGGCACTAACTCCTGCCCTAAAGACTTGAGAGTCCCACCCCCAAAGGTTCCAAAGACGGATATGAGCATATTCTCCAGAGTGTGGGGGACCCTGCCTCAACAATCAGGGTTTCACCTCTCTCAAAATGCTCCCCCGAATCTGGGGGGACTCAGCAGAAGGAAGGTAGTAGGTGCCGGCCTACATTAGGGAGCCCTCTGCCCCGCCCTGCCCCGCCCCACGGCCACACTCACCCACATACATGACTCCTTCCTTGGTCTTCTCCGCCGCTTCCGTCACTCCCTGCTTGGTCTTCTCCACAGCCCCCACCACACCTTCCTTGGCAATGGAGAACCCTTTCTTGAAGACGTCCATGGTGGTTGCGAGGATGGGACCTGACTGCTGCGAGCTAGGGACCGGAGCTGGCAAGTGCTGGCTGCAGCCGTCCCTGCCGCCGCTGCCTCTTATTGACGTGGATGAAATATTGATGCTGTGGCTGCTGGCTGGAACCCGGCCAGCCCAGGGCGGGGTGGGGGCAGGGAGGGCGGGCTGGAGAAAGCATGCCCCAGGGGGGACACCAGAGAGCAGGGCCTGGGCCCCTTCTGGCTCAGTTCTGCCCTACTGACTCCTGTCACCCAGGGGAGGGGGTGTTTGCAGGAGGCCGAACGTATCCTAATCTATCATTGTCCCTCCTTCACCCTTGGGAAGTCATGGGGGTCTTGTGTCCTGAATGTGGTGTGCAGAAGGTAAGCATCTTGGCCTGTGCCTCAGTGTCCCAGGTTGGGCAGGGGTCAGGGCCTGTCCGGTAAGAGCCCACCCTGCAGGCTACTCTGGGTGTCCAGCTACCCACAGCATCCTGGATGCTCCTGACCCTGGGGCTCCAGTCAAACCTGTTGGAAAGCTGAGAAACACACAATTTCCCCCATGCCTGCAATGGACTGGGTGACACGCTGTGTGTTTCTAGCATAGTTCCTTCCCTTCTCTGAGCTTCCACCCACCTGCTGGTTCCCATAGCCCAGCACCAAGCGGTGCTGAGAAGGCACGAAGGGCCTGCCCCCCACTTCCTGGCCAACAGTGTGGGTGGCACCCTATCTCCCGAGGCTGACACTTTCCACCGTTCTGTCTCCAGGCCCAGAACAGAGTCCTGTAGAAATGGCTTTGATAGGGTCACCCTCGTGTGTCTCACACACCCACAATGTCCTGATTCAAGTGCCCTTAGGACACAGGAATTGGCCTGAGTGGTTGCTGACCTCAGAGGGGACCAGGCTGGAAGAGGCGGGGGCGGATGAGACTTACCGGGTGGGCCGGACCAGGCCACTTCCTCCCTTTGTTGTCCCCATGTTTTCTTTTCTTTCTGACTTGAAGACCACATCACCAGCAAATTTGGGAGTCTGGTTCAACTGGCAAGGTTGAACCTCAGTGGAGCCAGCTACGCCTGCCCGTCGTCATGATCCTGACACTGATGCTGGGCCTTGGGGGGTACCTGAGCTGGGGACTTCTGGGGGCCTGGGCACAAGACCCTGGTACTAGGTTCTCTGATCCCAAAAGGCTCAGGGTACCTGCGGGCTGGAAAGCAGAGACTGCCGATACCAGCAGAGACCCCATCGGACGGTAAGGAGATCCTGGCCATGGCAGAGGGCAGGGGGTGATAGCTGAGTCCCAGACACATGTCTGTGGGATGGGCTGATATATGGCTAACTGGTGCTAGTTTCCTGGATCCAGTACTTCAGGGCCCAGCCTGAGGATGCCAGGGTGGTCCCTGCTTGACCCTTATCAGGGACTTCCACTGCTCCCACTATCAGCTACCAGCATGGAACTCAGAGGGACTGATGTTCTAGATGCTTCCTGCTGCTGATGGCTACTCTTTGAAGGAACTCAGCTCTGAAAGCTGAGCCCCAACAAGGCAGCTACCCCCTAGGGGAGGCATTTGGAGCTGAGTGCCCAAGGTACCAGGCCAGGACTGAGCAGTGAGTGAAGGGCTCCTGAAACCCCCGAGCTCGTGGAGGCAGGGGCTCCTAGGGCAACTCCGTGAGGCCTCCCGGATGGACAGGATACAGCTGACCCCAGACATGGTTTTCCAACATCCTCATTACACTTCAAGGTACCTGGACTCTGGCTCTGTCCCTCGTCCCTCAGGGTTTGTAGTCTCATGACTGGACACGTCCAAGGCAGAATGCAGGTGGCCCTTCCTGGGCCAGCCTCCGAGGTGCGGCTTTTCAAGTGTTATTTCTATTGCGTTTCCCAACAGCCTTCCTCACAGTGACTGACTGTCCTGCCCAGGTCACAGCCTAGGAGAGTCGGATCTTCACCTTTCATACCCAGCTCTCTGAATGGAACCCTGCGACCTCTCAGGCTGGGCAGCCAGCTCACACCCATCCTTAGCCTCCCCCCCCCTCGCCGCCCCACCCAAGGAACTGCGATGCCATTCCCAGACAAATCTGCCAGGGGCCAGGTTCCCATCCGTTTCTGACACTCCCAGGGGAATATCTGTTGGGCACTTTTTTTTTTTTTTTTTTTTTTTGTTTTTCGAGACAGGGTTTCTCTGTGGCTTTGGAGCCTGTCCTGAAACTAGCTCTTGTAGACCAGGCTGGTCTCGAACTCACAGAGATCCGCCTGCCTCTGCCTTCCGAGTGCTGGGATTAAAGGCGTGCACCACCATCGCCCCTGTTGGGCACTTTCTTGAAAGCAGTCTTAGCCAGAAAGAAGCCTCAGAGTGACAGGGAGCATGCGCTGATTAGGGTGGAGGGGGTGAGTCTGGTGGTGTAGAGGAAGAGGTCTATCCCCAGTTCTACTACAGGCTCCGGAGCACAGGTGATGGTTGATGAAGGCAGTCCTACCACCCACCTCTGACCTCAGGACAGGGACCAAGCCTCTCTTACCCCAGCAGTAGGTCCCAGGAGGCAAGTTCCTCCTCCCATTGTGAAGGGAAGGATGGAGGAGAAGGAGGGGTCAGGAGGTGGTCCTTGTTCTTATACTCTCCCGGGTGTGGAGAAGGTCTGCTTGCTCCTTAGTTCTTGAGAGCAGAGGCCCCTCCATCTTCCCTGGATGCTGTTGCACTAGGCTCTAGTGACTAGAGGGTTTGTGCTGCTTCTGATCCCAGGAATGCTCAGGCCAGCCAGGCTAGGACTTCTGCCTACTGGGGTTTCCTTTCGCATCCCCAGAAGCTTGAACCCCGCAGTTCAAGCCCAAGTTATTGAAGTATCCGGAGAGCCTAGTGGGAAAGGAAGGAAATGCTGCTTCCTGGGTTGATGGCTTCCCAGGTTCCTGTGACAGGAGGCAGAAGTGTCACTCGGATCCTTGAAGAGCAGGGGAAGGGGAGGGGGAGTACTCCATCAGTCGCGAGGGTGGGGGATGGGGCAGCACAGCGTCAGACTTAGACCTCCTGCTCTCTGTGTGGCCCTCCAGTTTCCAGACACCTGGTACCAGGCAGGCCCTGCACTCACAGGGATCAGAGCCTTTGGAAGAACAGTGAAACAAAACAAGTTTAGAGTCTCCACACCCTGTGTCCCCAGACTGCCAGGTCCCAGAGGGACATGGTTAACTGCTTCCTAAGCCCCTGGGGAACCTGAAGGGGCAGGGCCAAGGAACTAGCAAGGAACACCTTTGGATGTCACAGGGAAGAGGTTCCTCCTAGTTTCTTGGTTTGGGTGTGTATGTAGCATGTGGGCTCCTCAGACCCAAGTCAGCTGCACTAGAGACTGGGTCTGTGGTAGGGGCCACGACGACGCTGGGAGAGGGTGCCCATCTTCTATGTTGTTGTGACAGCTCAGAATGGTGAGGATGCCACTTAGGGCCTCAGATCTCATAAGAGTTGGGAGCCAGGTCTTCCCTGTCCTGATCCGCTCCCACGCAGGGTGGGGGTATAGTGTTACTCCCCGGAGCAGGCTCCTCCGAACGGAAGGAACACTCGGGACTTCTGTAGCTTGTAGCTCAAGAACCAGAGCTGTTCAGCATGTCACTAGGGGTCACACGGCAGCAAAATGGAGTCAACACTGTGCCCTTGTACCTGTCCCCGCTTCTGGACACAGGGTCCCACAGGGAAGAGCTCCACAGGCCAGGACTGAGGCATCTTAGGCTTATCCTCAGGGAGTCCCAGGTCCAGGCCGGCTTTGGGTTTCCCTGCCAAGATATACCACCACTCCATCCCTCCCTGTCTAGGGACAAAGCCCCAGGAAGGAGGATGAGTTCCCTGGGATGGTCACACTGACAGCTGGATGCAGGCCTCTGAGAGCAAGCAAGGTTGCCAGAAAGGACACCACCAAGCCAGAAAGAACCTGTAGAGATGGGCTCCTTGGTTAGCGAAGACACATTCTTGTGAAGGCGGCCACCGCAGCTGAGGCGCTTCCATTATGCAGAAAGCACCAGCCCCTCCCCGCAACAGCCTCTGTCAGCCTTCCCCACAACCCCTCTTGGTCTCCAGGGATGCCGCTTCTGCACATTTCCAGGAGTGGGAGGACTCAAGGTCACCAGATTCCAGGAAGGAAAGGGGAGGGGAGCTTCAGGTTCCGAGCTCCCACTCAGGCTCAGCATCCCCTGCGGTCTGTGCCACACAGGGTTGGGACCGACCCCTACGTTCACTCTTGACTGGCACCCGATCCTCAGTACACCTTCCTTGGGAGATGAGGGTGCCCAGCAGGGATCCTCATAGCAGGCTACAAAAGAAGGAGCAGGCCTGAGGCGAGGGCAGCGAGAACAATGGGGCACTTCAGCACGTCGAGCCTGGGGCACATGTGCTGAGGGCCTCCCAGGAGCTGCCAAGAGCCATAGGAAACCAAAGCAAAGGTTAGGAATTTTCCCAGGCCTCGAGGCCGACCGCCTGTGCTGTGCCAAGCGGGGAGCTGCCAAGGGGGGAGCGAGCCAGCGGCGGCGGCGGGGTGGCAGCGCAGAAGAGAAAGTTCCCGGGCAGGAAGGGTGGGCAGCACGACTTTCAGTTCAGGAGGGAGAGCAGGAAAGTCCCATCACTTCGGCAGGCTGGACCAGGCCACGCCCCACCATCCCAAACCCCCCACCCCGCCCCAGCTCTCGGCACAGGCCTCCTGGGCTCTAGGAGCGAGCTTAAGGTGTGTGAGGTGGGGCTTGTTTACATTGGTTCTCAGGCTTTCTGGACTGGATATTCCATTATTGTTGGAGTGTGGCGTGGGCCCTGTGCATCCCAGGACGCTCACTGACCCAGATGTTCTCGTTCTCTCTCTCTCTCTCTCTCTCTCTCTCTCTCTCTCTCTCTCTCTCTCTCTCTCTCTCTCTCTCTCTCTCCTCCCTCCCTCTCTCCCTCTTCCTCTCTGACTTTGTCTGTCCCTCTCTCTGCCCCCCACCCCGGCTCCCCAGCACTGGGATTACAAGTGCATTCGGCCATGCCTGACTTTTTGTGGGTGCTGACGATCCAGACTCAGGCTCTCGTGCTTGCATAGATAAGTGCTTTGCCAGCGAGCCATTTCCTTAGCCCTTGTCATGAATTTTTCAGACATTCGATTTATGGAGTTGATCTTACTCGCACCCTATTACCCTTTCCTGTTCTCCTCCCTCATCCCAGGCTGCTGCTGCTGCTTCCTCCTCCTCCCTCGCTCCCTCCTCCTCCCCCTCGTCTGGCTTCTACTTTCAGGTGCTTTTTGCTTTTAAGCCCAGATTCTGAGAACGAGAATACACAGCAGCTACTTGTTTTTCTGAGTGTGGCTGACTTCCCTTAATGTGATGATCTCTAGTTCTTTTAATTTTCCGGCAAATGCCATTATTTCAATCCTTCGACGACTGAATATATATTTCATACACACACACATATATATATATATACCATATATAAATATATATACTATACATACACCATGCTCTTTATCCATTTATCTGCTGAGAGATCCACTCTAACTCCACACATCGACTGCTGCAAGCAGCCTGGTTAGCAGGATGTGTTGGTATCTCCATCTGCTGGTGTAAATCCCTTTCAGTATACACCCTGAGTGCTAGAGCTGGGTCGTATGGTAATCACATATTTTGTTTTAGTTTTAGGGTTTAACTATTTTTGTTTAGTTTTTCTACATTTTATGTTAATTAAAAATAAACAACAAAATTCTGTTGTTCCCCATAAATACAAAGTATTTTCTGCTATATAAAAAGATAAAAAATTTTTAAATTATAATAAAAATGTTACGTGTATGGGTGTTTTGCCTGCATGTTTGACTGTGTACCATGTGTGTGCCTAGTGCCCGAGGAGGCCAGAAGAGGGCGCTGGGTGCCCTGGACTTGGAGTTACAGACAGTTGTGAGCAACCACTTAAGTCCTGGGAATTTAACAGGGGTCCTCTAGAAGAACAGCCAGTGCCTTTAATCACAGAACCATCTCTCCAGCCCGTTTGTTTTCCTGTTTTTGTCTGTTATTTTTCTTAAACAAGGTTACTCTGTATATCCCTAACTATCCTGGAGCTCCTTCTGTAGATCATGCTGGACCAATGCTGAGATTAAAGACATTCACCACAACTTGTTGGGGGAGGCCGCTTGTTCATTCCGGGCTGCCCAAACTTGAAATAATCACACAGAAATCTGTATTAATTGCAATATTGTTTGGCCAATAATAGCTTAAGCATATTGCTAGCTAGCTCTTACATCTAGAATTAACCCATT